CTAGTCATTTTCACCCCCACAGTGGTATCAAGAATCCAGATTTAGACTTCTGACAGGGAGGCGTGGAGGCTGGATGCAGATCTTCACTTCTCCTTTTGCTCCTCCAGACCCAATCTCCTAGTCTCCTCCTAAGTTATAGAGAAGACCTGCTACAGTCCCCCTTTCCTTTCTGACTCAATCAACAAGAGATCATGAAGATTTCCTCCTCCAACTTTACTTCCCTCAACTCATCCCAGTATCCCAGCCAGTAACACAGCAGCCATTCCCTAGAATCGCACCAGCTGAGCAGACCAGGGAAACAGGTGAGCTAGCTGAAGACCTCTCTTCTTCCTCTCCTCCAAACCCAACCCCTCAGTCTCATCCCTAGCTCTGCAACAGAACACCTGCTGTAGCCTTCCATTCCCCTGTACCCACATCTCCTATGGATTCCACAGACCTTTCCCCCCAACCTCCAGCCCCCAACTCCAGCAAGTCCTCCATACTAACTCATAGACCACTCCTGCCAGAGAAGCAGGTGGGCTGACTACATATCTTCCTTTCTCCTTCTGTTCCTTCAGAGACAATCCCCCAGTCTCATCCCCCGCTCTATAGTAACCCTGGGGTGACCTCACTTCACTCTCTTCTCCAATTCCACTGAGACTAAGTAAGCAGATCCTGGTGGAACACTCTGCTCTCCTCCCTCCTGTGAACCCTGCCAGACCCCTAGCCTAACTCTGTCCTAAATGTCAGCTCCCAATACCTAGAAACACATTCTATCTGGCACTTCCAGTGGCCACACCTACCAGGACCACAGAAAATTTCCTACCAAGCAACATACAGCGACCACACTCTCCTAAAACTTAGAGAGGCAACATAAACCAAGGAACAAAACATCGCCCAACAATGAAAAAACAGATACCAGCACCTGAAACTATAATCACCCCAATGCCTAGATAGCAGTGTGAAAGCACGATCAACAGCTAAGATGGTATGTCTCCACGGGAGCCCAGAAATCCTACCCAGCAGGCCCTGAATATTCCAACATAGGTGAAACACAAGATGGAAGGGATAATCTCAGTGAAGATATGATAGAAGAAATTAAGAAAGAAATTAAAGACTTTCTAGAATTAAATGAAAATGAAGACAAACATACCCCAAACTTATGGGACAGGATGAAGGTTCTAAGATGCAAGTTCACAGCTCTAAGGGCCTACATGAACAACAAAACAAAATGAAAAAATTGGAGAGTTATCATCCTATCAACAGTATATCTGAAAGGTCTAGAACAAAAATAAGAAATCACATCTAGAAGGAGTAGATGGCAAGAAATAAACTCAGGGCTGAAATCAATAAAATAGAAACAAAGAGAACTATTGTTTATGTCAGGTCATAGATGCCACAGTAGAAAGACAAGTTCACCAAGATGCTAAGTCTTCATTTTCTGAAGGAGCAGAGGGGTACAGCCTTCTTGGAAAAGACTGACTCCCAGCTAGCTCACTCCAGTTGCTTTATTCAAACTTATACAAGGTTAATTGGTACTGGGAAAGGTCCCAACTACCAAAGCTGTCTTGCTCTTCTTGCTGCCCATGAGAGCAGACAGCCTACACACATCTCAGTCCCTTTTGATTATGGTGGGCCATAATGAAAAGCAACAGTTCCATGTCTGCCAGGAGTGTCTTAGGACCAAGGTAGGTAGCTGCAAGCTTCCACACAGCACCAAGTGCAGAGCCTCCAGAGAAACCACATTTTTCAAGGTTTAAACAGTCTCAAAACAATTTTTCAGCTTCTACTGATTAACACACACATAAGAAAGGCTTTCCTGAAACATTTCTCTCAATGCCAGACAAAAAGGGTTTACTATACCCTTCACTTACAGCCAGACATAAAGGCTTTACTTATATATCACTACTGAGAACAATACAAGGAATCAATGAAACAAAGAGTTGGTTCTTTGAGAAAAACCAGTAAGATTGACAAACCCCTATCCAAATTAACTAAAAGGTGGAGAGAGAATATCCAAATGTTAAAAATGAAAATGGGACATAGCAATACACATGGGAAAATTCAGAGAATCATAAAGATACACTTAATAATCTTTACTCCAACAAATTTAATAAATTGGAAAAATATAAAAGAAATGGATAATTTCCTAGATACATACCACTTACCAAAGTTAAATAAAGATCAGATAAGCAATTTAAACAGAACTGTAAACGCCTAGAAGCAGTCATTAGAATCTTCCAATCAAAACAAAAACAAAAACAAAAGGAAAACCCTAGGGTTAGATAGTTTTAGCCCAGAATTCTTCAAGATTTCAAAGAAGAGATAATGTCAATACTCCTCAAATTATTCCACAAACTAGAAACAAAGGAAACATCACCAAATCATTTTATGAAACCACAGTTACCCTGATACACAAATCACATAAAGACCCAACAGAGAAAGAGAATTACAGAGAAGTTTCCCTTATGAACATAACAGCAAAAATACTCAATAAAATACTTGCAAACTGAATCTAAGAACACATCAAAAAGATCATCCACCATGATCAAGTAGACTTCATTCCAGAGATGCGGGGATGGCTTAATATGTAAAACCAATAAATATAATCGTCATATAAACAAAATGAAAGTAAAAGCTACGTGATTATCTCATTAGATAAAAGGAAAAGACCTTTGACAAAATCCAATATCCCTTCAAGGACTTTTAAGTCCTGGAGAGATTAAGCATGCAAGGGACATACCTAAATATAATAAAGGCAGCTTACTATAAACAACTTAAATGGAGAGAAACTGAAATCAATTCCACCCCAATCATGAACAAAACAAGGTTGCCTACTCTCTTCATACCTATTCAATATAGTACTTGTAGTCTTTTTTTTTCCAGACAGGGTTTCTCTGTGGCTTTGGGGGTTGTCCTAGAACTCGCTCTGTAGACCAGGCTGGCCTCAAACTCACAGAGATCCGCCTGCCTCTGCCTCCCGAGTGCTGGGGTTAAAGGCGTGTGCCACCACCGCCTGGCAGTACTTGTAGTCTTAGATAGAGCAATGAGACAACTGAAGGAGAACAAGGGAATGCAAATTGGAAAGGAAGAAGTCAAAGGATCTTTATTTGCAGATGATATGACAGCATACATAAATGACAATAAACATTTGACTGGGGAACTACAGCCTTTCATCGAAGTGGCTGGCTACAAAAGTAACTCACAAAAATCAATAAGGAGAGACAACTAGAATTGAGGGGCAGCATAGAAACTTTTTTTTTTTTTTTTGGTTTTTCGAGACAGGGTTTCTCTGTGGCTTTGGAGGCTGTCCTGGAACTCGCTCGGTAGACCAGGCTGGTCTCGAACTCACAGTGATCCTCCTGCCTCTGCCTCCCGAGTGCTGGGATTAAAGGCATGCGCCACCAATGCCCGGCTAGGGGCAGCATAGAAACTTAGTGCAGTAGAAACTTCTTTAAATATATGAAGGCAACCATAATGAAGCCTGCAAATAATGGGGGAGATGGAGTTCTAACTGGCTGTCTCTTGTCACCAAAGGAGGCTTCCAGTACAGGAACTGGGTTACATCCAATTGAGTTGTTTGTCAAAGGGGTCCCATGGAAATCCCCAGACAACCCAGGCTCCTGCAAAGACAACAGGTTGTTCTCCACAAACTGACAGCAAGGCCCCATTGCTAAAAGACAATGCCCACACAACTCATGAACATGGAAAAGATGAGCTTCTGCCTATATAGAATTTTCACTCCCATGTTCTAGTGTCTTTAGTACAGGAAAGTACTCTGCAGCCTATCAAAAGAGAAAGACAAACACCAACCCAGCCACAAACCCTTTGACTTGCCTGTAATATATGCTAGGGCAATGGTGGCACAAAGCTTGCAGGAGTAACCAATCAATATCTGATTTGACATTGCCTGGGTGATAAAGAACCAGAGAGTAGACAGCCTAGAGACCTAGGGTAAAACCAAATGCTACTGGCTTAAAAAATAGTAATAAATGACACCTACTGATACTCTGCTATACTCATAGATCAGTGCCTTATTCGGTCATCATCAGAGAATCTCCTCCTGCAGAAGACAGAAACAGATGCAGAGACCCACAGCCAGACAGTGTGCAGAGAGGGAGAGACCTTGGAACAAATAGCTCTAAATGGGTGTCTCCATCAAATTTCTCCCCTCAGATCTCAGGGAACCCTGTCAAAAAGAGGTGAAAAGAGTGTGTGTGTGTGGGGGGGGATGGAGGACACCAGGAGAGCAAGGTCCTCTGAATCAACTGAGGAACGTTCATAAGAACTCACAGAGACTAAGTAGCAAGCACAGGTCCTCTGCATACATGCTATAGAATTCAGTTTAGTATTTTTATAGAATTCCTGAGTGTGTGAATGAGTGGGTCTCTGATTCTTGTGCTTTCTCTTGGGTTCTTTTCCTTCTGTTAGTTTGGCTTGCCCAACTTTTGGTGATTTTTTTATTTTATCTTATTGCATTTTATTTTGTTGTGTTTTGTTGTTATCTCTTGGAAGCCTGTTCTTTTCTAATGAGAGACAGAGAGTGTGGATCCAGAGGAAATGGGAGGTGGGGAGTAGCTGAGAGGAGTAGTAGGAGCAGTAACTATAATCAGGATATATCATATGAGAAAAGAATCTATTTACAAATTAAAAGGCAAAAAAGTAGAATCCTGTTCTAATGACAAAGATGAATTCTGTTTTTTTAAAATCTCATGCCACAGACCTAATATGCTAGAGATCTGTGTGGATTCTGTCCTCAATGTTACGTTCTGTCATACATGTATGAGATTCTATTTCTCCATCCCATAAACATTATGGCATTTGTTTGCTTCTCTCTCTCCTGATGGCATCTGGGTACATTTCATGATTTTCATAGGGCTTGAGATCAAGCATATTAGGGTCTCAGACATACCAGGCAACCCCTCTACCACTGAGCTTCCATGAACACACTTGTATAAGTCTGATGAAGAGATGTATCTGGTATTTTTAGGTCTGCAGTTGTGAGCAGAATTGTTGGACAGTTTGGTAGTTGTATCACATTTATTTATCTTTCATTGAAAAGCACTGGTAGATCACCTTTCTGTATGTTTGCTAGTCACTCATACATATCAGTTTGTATTGGATTGTTTGCAACTTTTATTGATTTGTGGAAGATCTTAGTTTTATGCCTTGTAATGGATAGTTTTCTGGGTTTAGTAGTCTGGGCTGGCATCTGTATGAGCTTCGGAGCTTGAAGAACATCTGATATGAGTCCAATCTGAGATACGCATAGCTACAACACGGTCACACTTCAAAAGAGAATCACTTTAAGAATTAACATATGTTCCTTAAGATATGCAAGTAAAATTCAAGTATGTGATAAAGTCGGAATGCTCCTCCCTACTGCTGAGGCAGCATTCTGCAACACAATCACCAAACAATAAGCACTGCATTTTCTCCTTGTCACACACACCTCACGAATATGACCCCACTTTACAGACGAGGAAGAGAGGGCACAATGAGAAAAGTTGACTTCTGTGGGAGTAACACTGAATCTGGACTTGAACCCAGGAATCCTGTGACCTTCATTCCTTCCAAGACGACCTCCCCCCTTCAGAACCTTTGGTTTAGAGGGCCGCTGATACTTGAATCTGCCCCTAACATACGCTGTCCTTAGCCATGCCTTTCCAGCACTCCAGCCAGTGCTGGGCACACAGAGCAAGTGTCAGCACTTGTGGATCTTGATTTCTGTGTAATCAGACTTGATGGTCTCTGCGTTCTGAGGCTGCCGGGGCTTCAGGCCTTGGAAGGAAAGGGAGGCATAGTGGAGTTCAGGCTCATCCTCCAGGGCGTGTGGGACTGCGGCAAGTGGTGACTGTTCTTTCTGGCTCTGTGACCCTGGTGCATTCAAGTGACCCTGGAACCCAATTAAAGAAGGGCATCAGTCAAGACTTTGCAGACAGCAGTGACAATTGCCAAAGGCACTTGGGGTTTAGCCGTGCATTTATTCATTTATCTACTTTACACACATTTCCTAAGTGTTCACTCCATGATTTCACTCATTCACCTTCAATGATGTTTCAACATGAATATGAATGTGTCTAAATCCCTCCTCCACATTTCCCCAGTATGTGCCTATGTGCACATCACCTGTATACACAGTACTTGTGGTCAAACCCAGGACCTTGCACATAGTAGGCAAGGGCTCTAACAATACGGTGTGCTCCACCCCCAGCTAATTTTAATCTTATAGTCTCACTGAGTCCTCACAACCCCCCCTTCCCCATTTTATGGATATGAACATAGTCTGGTCCAGGCTAAGTAACTCACAAAAGACAGCATCAGACTGTCAAAAACAAACGAAGGTAAAACCAGATGTGTCTTGCAGCAATCCGATCACTTGGGAGGGAGGCTTTGGAAGAAAGACTGTGTCTTGGGCAAGCTCTGGCTCCACAGTGAGTTCAGAACAGCCTGGGCTACACAGAGACCCCGAAACCTAAATCAGTAAAATTTCAAAAATAAAATGAAAAGTTTATCTAATTGTAATCTGATGGGTAGAAGCAAGGAGTTACAGTGAGTTCTCAAGAAGCGAGGGTGAGACCTACCCCTTGTGGGGCTTGCAGTAGGCAGGGCGAGCAGGGACAGGCCTGAGACTGCAAGAGGCAGGTGATGGGATATTTTAACTGATACATGGGAGATGATTAAGGCTCCATTCAGGGAAGGATCAGGGATCACCTGCCAGGGAGTTTGGATTCATTCTGCTGCTCTTGATGCTGAATATGGTGCTGGCCACATCAGCACATGGAATGTGAGGGATGGCCGGGGAGGTGTGCCGTGAGCACTATGCGCATGCTGGGTCTGAAAGGCTGAGCACCCCAAATGAAGAAGGCGAATGCAGCATTCCCAAGATTACATTTTGTTATTGATAACAAGTTAGAATCACACTCATCTGGATGTATTGTATGGAATGAAATGGGATACGTGTCTCTGCTTTTTTATGTGACTAGTGAAGATTTTATTTTATAAATGTGGCCAACAGTCTATTTCTTTCCTTTTTTATCTTGAAATTAAGTCTCTAGGTAGCCCAGACTCTCCTAGAACTCCCTGTGCAGCCCGAGCTGGCCTCAAGCTTTAATTTTCTTTCCTCATACTTCTAAGTGTCAGCAATATAGGCACGTGCCACCAAGCCTAGCCTCCGGGAGTCTGTCTCTATGTGCCTCTCTTCTTCCCCATCCCCTGCTGGGGATGGAACCCAAGGTGTCCCATTTTCTAGAAAACTACAACAGAGCTATATTCCTCACTGTTAAATTCTGGGCAAGCTTCTAACCAAGTGTCTTACCCATAGTCAGCCTATCACTGGTAGATTCTACACAGGCATTCACTTCTAAGCCACATCCCTGCTTTTTCACTGACAGATACAGATACAAGACACATTCCTAGCTGTTTTTCGATTTAGATTTTATTTGGATCTCATAAATTACCCTGGTAGGCCCTCATCTCACTAGGTAATTCATGCTGGCTTTAAACTCCGCATCCTCCTGCCTCAGCTTCCTGAATGCTGAGATTAAGGTCTGCCCACCATGCCCAGCCTGGCATTCTATTTCTGTCTAACAACACATTTGTACTGTAAGGACCGTGCTTAACTCAACAGCTGTGTTTGGAATTCCTTTATGAAAGTTTGCTCTGCGCTGATGAAGCCAGTACTGAGGCTCAGGGAAAGGCTGTGAAGACTTGACAGGAAGTAGCTACATGGGACGAGCTTTGCTAACAAGCACAATAGTCAGGCCTGGGTAAATACCGGAAGCAGGAGACAGAGGTGGGGCAAATGCCAGGTCCCCAGCCTGGGGTTGCAGAATAAAAGTTGAATATCGGGGAAACAGAAGCTCAGTTTTGATACGCTGGGTGTAAGGACTCAGGTGTTATGCTGGCCTGCCCCTGTCACCTGGCCGAATGCACTCAAGCAGTGCCCTGGTCAGCCCAGGGCTCCATGACTGCTTATTCTGCGCACAGGTACAAAGAACCCCTTTAAAAGACAGACCCAGCCCACTTCTCTCTCTTTTTGCTCTCTTCTCTTTGCCTGCTCCTCTCTTTCCTGCTCTCTTCCCGAGTTTCCCTGGGGAACACAGGACTTTTCCTGTCTCCCTCTTCTCTTCTGTCCTCTCTCTGTCTCTGTCTCTGTCTCTGTGTCTCTTTTCTCTTTCCTTCCCTCCCTCCCCTTTCTAATAAAACTTCTCACTTAAGCTCTGTCTGCCTGGTGTGTTTGTCCCCCTCCTCTGTCACCCTCCCTGCCAAGGTCCCCCAGGCAAGGTTTCCCTTACACTTTATCCTAACACTGGGTACCTAGGAGAGGCATCTCACCGAAACGCTGGATGAAATCATGCTGGAACCGTGTATCGTGGAGACAGGGCACACAGCAGGATGGTTGCCTGTCAGGCTTACTACTTTCAGGGCTGATTTCTTCCTGAGGACCTTCACTCTGGAGAAAGAGAGCAGGTGCTTTTTCCCATCTCTTCTGGATGGATTTTAAGGCCAGGGAACACTAGGTACAATGGCTTGGGATGGGGTTGCTTTGTGGATTAAAGGGATTCTCAGTGATTGGGACTACATGATTTGAACAGACCCTACACTTGGCCAAGGTAGCAGGAGACTTGTGCTAACCCTGCCCAGGCTCACTGCTCTGTGGGCTGAGTCTTGGAGATGCCTTAAGCAGTCCACAGCCACTACGCGGAGCCTCCACCCAATGGGGCCAGCACTCACATGAAGAAGATGAGGCAGATGCAGGCGGCAAACAAGGCCATGATGCCTGCCCCTCTCATGGCCCCTTGGACCACTCCTGTACTGGTTTCTGGTTTGTCTGTTAACAAGAAAGACCAGGGGTGATGGAAAGTCTTCCTCTCAAGCAGTCATCTTAGCATCCAACCTGCGTTAGTCCATTGTTTGTGAGAATGCCCACTTCTACTCTGGTCTAGGTCCTTTCTTCCCCATGGTGTATGTGACTACAGCCTCCTGTCCCCAAACCTCCTACCAACCCAGCTGATAGGAAACTATGAACACTAGCCCCAGTTTAGCTCTAATTTGTCCACTCCAATCCAACAGAAGTCACCCCTTCCCCCCACATTACCCTTTGTGACCTCTTGACCTGGCAGCAGCAAGATAGTGGCACTCTGAACTCCATTGTCATTCCAAGCCTCGCAGCTGAGCCTGAGGCCAGCACTGAACTCCAAGCTGAGGCTCAGGGAGCTGTTGACCCAGGGTCCTGTGGAGCTGGAGGTGACCGTGAAGGAGACATTGCTGCTGTTCCCCTCCAGCAGCCCCTCCCCCAGCCGCCAGCGCAGGACGGGGGCGGGCCAGGCTCTGGAGGAGCAGCTGCAGTGCAGATTCTCAGCCTCCCAGGAGCAGGAGGGTGTCAGGAGCTGTAGGAGGCCTGGGGAGTGGGACACAAAGACAGGTAGCAGAGGGGCCTCCCAGGCTGTGAGCACAATGCCCCACCCCCATCACCTTCCAACTCACTCTTTACGCTGAGCCTCACGGAGGCCACCTGAGCACCCAGACTGTTCTGCGCTCCGCAGGTGTATTCTCCCTGGTGCTCCAACTCCACCCTCTGCAGCTGCAGTTCCTCCGTGGAGAGCTGGAGCGGCTTCTGGGTCAGGTGCTCCCAGCTCAGCACAGCTGGGGGGTTGCTGTCGGCCTCACAGACTAGGCGCAAGGACTTGCCCTCTTGGATATGCAGAGATGAGCCATTGTGCAGCACCTGAGGTTCTGAGGAGGCGGAGAGAAGACTGAGCGGGGTCACAGAGGGCTTTCTGTATTTGTCTTCTTTTTCCCATATCATCTGTCTTTTCGCTTCTGCTGGCTGATGACCTCACACCATAGAGTGGACAGACAGACAGTATCTGTTAACAGTGTGAGATCATCAGAACCACTTTGGGCCTCACTCTTCCCTCCTGGGCATCTATCAGCTTGGATTTCTTACTTGTCCTGGAGAGTTTGCCCTTCTGTCTCTCAAGAGCATCTCACTAAGGCCTGCCTAATTGAGCTGTGTCCCAGACACTCACTTTCCTGGGGGCAGGCCCCTAAAGCAGGTGGCACAGGGCAGTGGTGGGTTTTATGGTGGTTCTGTCTTAAAAGCTCAGGGAGATTCTCAGGACCAGGAAATCTTCAAGGAGGAGAAAGGCGGAAGGAGTAAGTGGAGAACAGTGGAGACGTCTGGGGACCGTGCCACAGTGTTCTGCCCACAGAGAGACAACATCGCCCTACGCTCGCTGAAGAAGCCTGAAAAGTCCCTTCACCTGGCAAACAGCTGCTCCTTAACAGGTCACTCTCTTCAGATGATTTTGGAAATTATTGCGAACCAATAAATCCAACTTATTGTTACTATTTTTCTTTATGAGAGAGGGTCTCCTACACCTACTATAGAGATGAGGGTGACTTTGAATTTCTGAGCCTCCTGTTTCCACATCTCAAGGGTTGGGATTACAGGAGTGCAATTGCCACGCTTGGTTTATGCAATGCTGGGGATCCCACCCAAGGCTTCCTGCATGCTAGGATGGCGCTTTCCCAATAGAGCCACATCCCAGTCCATGAACACTACGTAAACACCGTAAAAGAGACTTGGCTTCTTGAGAGAATATTGTGAATGAAACCTACAATGATTTCATTTGTGCCATCAGGGAGGGTGGGTGTGTTTGCTAAGGAGAGAAAGACATTGTTGCTGGGGATATGCCTAAGACAAAGTCCATGCTGTGCAATTTGGCAGCATATGTATGTGTGAAATACAAATGACCCTTTGTTCTGGAATTTTCTTCCTTAGGAAATAATTTTGTAGACATGGTCACAAATGTAATTTTCATGTAAGTCACTTATTGACTAAGAGACAAGGGATGCCAATTTTTGTTTTTTTTTGTCTTTTTTGTCAAGAGATAAAAGGGTAAATGTGTTATCGTATCATTAGAAAACCATGGAGTTACTAATTAATATGCGTGAAGAAGAAGTCTCCAAGAAACTAAGTTTGAGGGAAAAATTGACTCAGTCCTTGCCATTGACTGACACATGTATGGTGGCGGTATGAGTTTGATCACAAAGGAATCAGGGATAAGCCAGAATTAAGTCTGAATGGGGAAACAAAAGAGACTTCAAACAACCTCTGGCACCTAGGGCAGGTTTTGTTTAATGTCAGAGGGCGTCTCCAGGTTGGGTTACATGGTGATCAGGGAACAGAACTCAGAAACACAATGATCAGAGTTCAACAAGGTGTAGATTATATGCCTCAAACTGCGGGGTTTATGGCTAAGGACAGGAAATGGGAAGAGAGGGGATGTTAGGAGCAGAAAGAGGAAGTTAGCTGCTTCCTGTAAACAAGCTGTTTTGGAAACTGCCAGTCTGTTCTTTGGTTTTGCAACCACTGAGTGTCTGGGGTCGGGGATCAGCTGCTTTGCTTTGGTAATCCCCAAAGAGCTGGCTTCCTACAACTTTGAATTCAGTTTAGGGCCTTAGTTCCAGAATATCTGCTTATCTGAGGGCAGCAGTCCCAGAACCTACCCCAGGAAGAAGAGATTTCACCCTACCTGTGTCATTTCCCCAGGACGCTCTGATGGTCACCTTCTGTGGAGCATCTGGGCAGACAGATATGGTCATTTGCTTTTCAGAGAGGGGGTGGCTGCTGGTATTTCACCCCAGAGCTCTTCTCTCACACTACTGGCTTTCAGGACCCATCACCCAGTTCTACCCCCCCATCCCACACCCCTAATATCCCTTCCCCAGAGAACCAGGTTTTCTGGACTGGCACTCACAGGTGACACTGAGCTGTTCAGTCCTCTCCATGGTAACACCAACACCAGGGAAGGTCACCTGACAGGTGATGTTGGTGCCATGGTCCTGGGGCTTCGGTGTTAGGTTCAGCTCTGAGGAGAGGATGGTCCTGGGGCCCAGGGAGGTAAGGGCAGATGACATCCAGGAGAAGATAGGGGGTGTCCCACGCTCACAAGCCCAGGGCAGAGAGCAGATCAGTTGGGTAGAAGTACCAGACACCAGGATAGGTAAGACTTGGAAGTTAGGAGTTTCACTCAGAGCTGGACAGAGAGAGATAGGGACACAAGACATGTGACTCTACCTCAAGACAGCCCCATCATTTGGTCCAAGGGTGCCCAGAGGCTTTGGAACAAGGACCCCCTCATATACCCTCATCACATACCTATCACATCCACAGAGAGCTTCTGCTTCACAAAACTGTATTTCATAGCTCCATCTCCTTCCACCCTGAAGAGGTACACTCCTGTGTCTCTTCTCTTTGCATCTCTGATCTCCAGGGAGCAGTTATGGGTATTTGGCCCCCCCATGAGATGGAATCGACCTTGAGCTTCCTTCTGTACTGATCGATTTGGGTCATTTGTAGCCACCAGATAGTTGAGGCTTGTAGTGGTCTGCTCCTGGTACCAATAGCCAAAAACAGAACTACTGGAAGTGGGGTAACGGACTTGGCAGGACACAAAGGTGCACAGGCCCTCCTGTACCGTCACCGAATTGGTCACTGAGAGCTCATAGTCCCCATTCTTAGCCAGAGACCCTGCAAAGAGATGAGATAGTTATCTTGGTCCTGTTCCACCAGCCCTGTCAGTATCCCTACTCACCTGCCCAGAGCAGGGACAGAAGCAGGGGCCAAAGCATCACACAGTGGAAGGTTCTGGGCTCCTCTGGGTGTCCAGAGAACGGAGGCTTGATCAGTTTGCAGTGGGTCCTTGAGGTGGGAGTGGAGGCTTCGATGTTACAGGACTGAGAGAACGTCCTCCTGAAAGCCCAGGAATGAGGACAAAGAGCTACTGACCACAGAGAAGGAACTTTCCAGCCACAGGTTATCAGAGCCGTCAAGTCCCTTGGAGAACAAGCACTTCCACTTTTCACGTGGGTATCATGGGAGCCACGGTCAGTGAGGAGGACCCACCCTCCATCCCTGAACCCTGTCTGTAGCATTTGTTTCTCACTGGTCTTTGTTAAGAGTCTGATAGTCAGAGGCGTGGCTCAGCAGGCAAAGGCACTTGCCACTAAGCCCGCTGAACCATCCCCGGGACCCACACTGTGGAAAGAAGGAACTAACTCTCAACAGTTGCCCTTTGATCCCCACTTGTACATGGGGGCACACTCATACCATAGTGGGCATGCACATAAAAATAAATGTAATAGTTTTCTTAATGTATAAAGGAGATTGAGTGAGACACTCGCTGCCTAAATAACTTTCCTGTTGCTGTTATAAAATATCCCTACAAAACAACTTAAAGAAATAAAAGTTGATTTTGGCTCAGAGTTTGAGGTTACAGCCCATTGTGGTGGGGAAGTTATGATGGCTACAAGCACTGTGAGGGGTGAAAGAATGTTCCCGGCTCACTGTGTAGTCTAGGATCCCAGCCTATGGAATGGTGCCACCCAAAGTGGGTGGGTTTTCTCACTCAGTTCACCCACTGGCATGCTTAGAGACCCACCCCCCAAGTTTCCAATTGAGGTTAGTCATCACAGCCATAGGCACACATAGGGCATCCACATGAGGACATGGGAAGGAGACTCCATCTGCAGGCCCAAGAGAGAGGAATCTTTCTTATAAAAAATGCTAATCTAGTACTTCCAGCTTCAATACTGAGAAAAACGAACATGTTGTTAAAGCTGCTCTGGGTGTGTGTATGTATGTATTAGTCAGGGTTTCTAGAGGATTTGAACTGGTAGAATATGAATCTACGTGAGTAGTTCAACATGGGAGAGGACAAGAATCTGGTAGTGGCTGTCTCACAAGGCTGATATCTCAGCAGGTCCAGACCAGTGGTGAAGAGCTGCAGAATTACTGGAAGGAGTGAAACAGTAATGGGCGAGTCCCTGAGTTCACCCCACTGCCTCACATTGTGGGGTCTTGGTGAATGGATGGGTTCTGAAGACTCTTCTCCTGGTAAGGAGAGTGTGTGGTGGGGTACAGAAGCTCCTCTTCTGCTTTTTCTTCAGCCCCAAGTCCTAAACCAACTGGCTTTGTCCACGCACACCTGAGTCTTCTTTGGCTGCCTCTTGCATTACGTCTAAGGTTTATCTTGTGCTTAAGGAAAGGAGGTGGTGAGTCGGTGCCATCTTCTCTATACCAGAAGTCTGCCAGTCACTACGTAATGTTCTGACCAGTAGGTGGAGAAGCAGACCCACATCTGTAACACTCAGATCAATGGTCCCTTCTCATAAACAGGGACAGAGTGTGGGCATCAGGTACTTTTGAAATAACAGCAGACCATTCCATTTGTCTCCTGGGCAGTTACCATGAATGTTGGCATTATGAGCCCATCATGGTTACAGTGCTACTAGAGAATTTGAGACTGTTATACCGAATCTGATTTGTTTTTACTTTTTTTATTGCTGAATCATTTTCTTTTTTTCTTTAACTTTTTACACATGTTACTCTCAGTCCCTCTCCCTCCCCAGCTCCCCCAGCCCCCCAATCCTCCCAACCCCCCCCACCCACTCCATCCTCCCTCCACTCCCCAGGGAGGGTAAGGGTTTCCATGAGGGATTTTCAGAGTCTGTCATATCATCCTAGGCAGGGCCTAGGTCCTCCCCCATGTGTCCAGACTGAGAGAGCGTCCCTCCATGTGGAATGGGCTCCCAGAGTTCATTTGTATGCCAGGGATAAATACTGCTCTACTCTCCAAGGTCCCACAGATTGCTGAGGCCTCTTCTCTGACACCCAGGTTGGGGGGGCGGGGGTCTGAATCAGTCCCCTGCTGGCCTCTCAGCCATCAGTCTGGGGTCCATGCGTTCCCCCTTGTTTAGGTCAGCTGCCTCTGTGGGTTTCCCCAGCCTTGTCTTGATTCCTTTGCTCCTCACTCCTCTTTGCAATTGGGTTTTAGGAGTTCAATTAGTTTTCAGCTGTGGGTGTCTGCTTCTGCTTCCGTCAGCCACCGGATTCTAGGATGGCATGTAAGGTAGTCATCATTCTCATTATCATAGGAGGGCATTTAAGGTAGCCTTAATGCCAATTGGTGTCTTTCTTGTACATCTGTGAAGATCTCACTAGTGCCAGATCTCTCCTCCAACTTACAATGGCTGCCTCTATTATGGTATCTCTTATACTGCTCTCCTCTGTTCTTACCCTGGTTCAACCTTCCTGCTCTCCTGTGCTCCTTGCCCCTCCTCTTTCCCCCTCTCTTTCTCCTATCTCCTCTGTAGTCCCTTCCCCCTCCCCTACCCAACTCCCCCTCCCCCGCAGGAGATCTCGCCCCATAACCCTGATCCGGGTTACCATGCATATCTCTTTTAGGATCTTCCCTGCTTCCCAGACTCTCTGGCCATGGGATTGTAGGCTGGCAATGCCCTGCTCCATGTCTAAAATCCATATATGAGTGAGTACATACCATGTTTGTCTTTTTGTGACTGGGTTACCTCACTCAGGATGGTTTCTTCTAGTGCCATCCATTTGCCTGCAAATTTCAGGATTCCATTGGTTTTTTTTTCCTGCTGAGTAGTACTCCATTGTGTAAATGTACCACATTTTCTCTATCTACTTTTCAGTTGAGGGGCATCTAGCTTGCTTCCAGGTTCTGGCTATTACAAATACTGCTGCTATGAACATAGTTGAGCAGATGTCCTTATTGTATGAGTGTACATCTTTTGGGTATATGCCTAAGAGTGGAATTGCTCGATCTTGGGGTAGACTGATTTCCATTTTCCTGAGGAATCTCCATACCGATTTCCAAAGTGGCTGCACAAGTCAGCATTCCCACCAGCAGTGGAGGAGTGTTCCCCTTTCTCCACATCCTCTCCAGCACAAACTGTCATTAGTGTTTTTGATTTTAGCCGTTTTCATGGGAGTGAGATGGTATCTCAGAGTTGTTTTGATTTGTATTTCCCTGATGGCTAAGGATGTCGAGCTCTTTCTCAAGTATCTCTTGGCCATTTTAGACTCCTTTATTGAGAATTCTCTGTTTAGTTCAGTACCCCACTTTTTAATTGCATCCTTTGGTGTTCTGGAGACTTGCTTCTTTGTTACGAGAAGCTTTTTCCTTGAGAGGAGCCTTCCGGCCCGCCTGGTTCCAGAGCCGCATCAGTCCCAAATAAACACACAGGAGGCTATATTAATTATGAAGCTGTTGGCCTTGCTTGTCTCTTACTGGCTAGCTCTGCTTTAAGTAATTACCCCATAATTGTTAATCTAAGTATGTTTCTTACCGGAGAATAGCTCCCGGCTTCCTACCCCAATGGCATCACATGTCGAACTCTCTTGTGTTTCTCCTACCCAGAATCCTCCTGGATTCCTAGTCCCTCCTATCTAGGTTTTCTATAGGCTCAACAGTACTTTATTGACAAATAACAGGCAAATAACAGGACTTCCCCAACACTTCTTGAGTTCTTTGTAAATTTTGGAGATCAGCCCTCTGTCAGAAATGGGGTTTGTGAATATCTTTTCCTATTCTGAGGCCTCTCATTTTGTCTTGTTGACTGTGTCCTTTGCCTTGCAGAAGCTTCTCAGTTTCAGGGGGTCTCATTTATTAATTGTCAATCTCAGTGTCTGTGCTACTGATGTTATGTTCAGGAAGCAGGTCTCCTGTACCAATTCGTTCAAATTTCTCTTCTAAGAGGTTCAGTGTGGCTGTATTGATATTGAGGTCTTTGATCCATTTGGACTTAAGTTTTGTGCATGGTGATAGATATGGATATATCTGCTGTCTTTGACATGCCAGCATCCAGTTACTCCAGCACCATTTGTTGAAGATGCTTTCTGTTTTTCAGAAAGCATAGTTTTAGCTTCCTTATCAAAGATCAGGTGTTCAAAGGTATGTGTGTGTTGATATCAGGGTCCTCGAATCGATTCCATTGGTCTACCTGTCTTTTTTTTTTCCCAATACCAAGCTGTTTTCAGGACTATAGCTCTATAGAGTTTGAAATAATCCCTTATTTCAAGGTGATGCCTCCTGAAGTTCCTTTATTGTACAGGGTTGTTTTGTCTATCCTGGGTCTTTTGTTTTTCCATATAAAGTTGAGGATTGTCCTTTCCAGGTCTGTGAAAAATTGTGCTGGTATTTTGATAGGGATTTCATTGAATCTGTAGATTGTTTATGGCAAGATTGCCATTTTTACTATGTTGATCCTACCTATCCAAGAGCATGGGAGATCTTCCCATTTTCTGGTAACTTCTGTAATTTCTTTCTTTAAAGACTCAAAGTTCTTTAAAGATATACAGGGCTCTGAAGGCATAACTTAATCATGCATCCAACACAGTATTTATTCCTGCTCGTCCAATCAATAAACATACCCAAGACCTATTGGGAAAACTCTATCATTTTGCCCATTTTATAGACAGGCAAAGTAAGTCCTGGAGAGGCGTGGTCCTTTATAAGGTTAACCATATAGCCAAGACACCAGGTGTCCTGGTGCACTGGACCCACAGAGGGGTAGTGATGCAGAGACTAGCCTCATGGCTAGGGTGTCAGAGAGATGAAGACAGCTTGCTAGATCCATCCACAAGTGCCAACTGTGCTGCTCTGTGCATTAGTCGGAGGGAGGCAGAACTGCAGTTTTCCCAGACCGCATCTTCTCCTTGTGATAAAAGCGGCTCTCACAGAGTGCCAACTGTGCTGCTCTGTGCATTAGTCAGAGGGAGGCAGAACTGCAGTTTCCCCAGACCGCATCTTCTCCTTGTGATAAAAACGGCTCTCACAGACATATGCATGGGGCTTCCTGAAGACACAGCAGTGTGTGCTGTTGGACACAGCCAGTGACTATGGAGTGTGACCACTTTCTGCACAGGCCCATTTCTGAGCTCCAATGAACTGAAATGTTTCTCAAAAGCACCCTTGGCACCCGTGGTGCCCCCTCCTTGCCTCCCATCCTTTCTTTAGCTCTTAGCAATCCCAAGAGACTTCTTCCCCTCGAGACTCCCAGGCCTGCTGGTGCTGGGACCAGTTTGATCTACTCACTTGAATCTTAGTGTCATTCTCATCTCTGGCCTCC